GGGGGATGCTCTGTGATGAGGAAACTCGGTTCTGAGACACAGCCCAAAAGGCGGTTCTACTCCCAAAAGGCGGTTCTACTCCCAAAAGGCGGTTCTAGTCCCAACCAGTCATTTTTGCTCCCCTGCCTGGCTGCCTCAGGACACTACAGGATTTTTCAAACATGCATGAATGAGTCAAAGTAAGACTCTGGACATGTGTTTGTTTAGAGGATAATATCATAACATGATATAAAGCACTAATAGTTTATTTTACATGATATTGCCCCTTTAAATGTTGCTGAATCAGCAAGTTTCTCAGTGGATCTGCGCTCAATAATGCAGCCTAGATGGAGCAGTCGAACGCACATCCACTGAGCCTTCAACACAGCTCATTTTCAGAAGACAAGTTTATGAAATAGATTTTAAAAAAATCTGTATTGTTTGATAAATAGTGTATATTGAGCTTAAAGCACTGTATTGAACGGTTCAATACAGATACATGTATTGTTGCACCCCTACTCTTAGCATATACAGTATATAAATGTATCATATACAGTATATTTATTCACATACATAAATCAAATAAGTACAACACATTTTATGCATTTTATGACTGGCTGATCTTCACAAGCAGCATGTTTGTTTTTTGGTTACAGGAATAACATAAAGGAAACTGGAGCATAGCTCTTCCAGTGAGACATTTGTCTGAATCAACTTGCAGTCATTCACTCATAAATTTAAAGCTGAAGGGTGGCATTCCAGAAACTATGCTTTGCCATTTACGGCCAACGGCTGATTTAAATGTACTGTTAATACATTGGGAAATTTTCAAGTTCCTGTATCTGACTTGTTTTTAGCCAGTTGCTACTGAAACTCTGATTTTTGCAAGAATCACCAATGATAGTGGGTAATGTCTAATCAATAACTGTATACAATGTGCAAGAAACTGTCCACACTTGAGAGTTAAATATGTAAATATTGTGGTATTATAATTTAGGTTTTTTTGTTGGGAATATTCAAGGAAAGACTAATATGTTTTTTTTTTACTTGCTCAGTAAGCAGTTTTGAAATCAGAGACAAAATAAAACACATCTGAGGCTAAATTATATTGTTTTATATCTGACCTTTTTGACTAAAATCAAAATTTATTACAGAAATTTCCAATAGTCAAATGCTCCTTTTTATTTACATTGAATCATAATCCTAAACCTCTGCCAAAGTAATGATTACATCTACTTAAATAATGCTTTGTTTCTGTTTGATCTTACTATGGTATAATTTATTTGAGCAGTGGAAAAAAGTGTTTTTAGTTTTTGATTAATGAAAGGCTGGCCACAGTTTACAAATGTTTAAGCTTTTCTTCTGTTTCTCTGAATCACTCTGCACGTTGCTTCCTTTTTACGCCACGTTGTTCCTTTCAACAGCTGATGGTCAAACTGTTGATTAAGCAAGCGTCACCTTGTCTTTGTGGTCGCAAAGGAAAGCGTTGCAGCAGAACACGTGTTAACCTGCTTTGATCAAATCACTAGATCACCAAGGAATGATAATAGTGAGTGGGAAGTAATGAATTAACGCTTTCGAGTCATTGCAGGTTGAAATTACCTCAAGTGTTTTACTCACATTTAACAAGAAAGAAACAATAACAAAAAGGCAGATGGCTTAGACACACTCTGCAATTAATGATTGATCTTTTTAAGCTTTACACAAATGGTTACCTATCAAATGTTTATTTTTGTGTTATGTTTCCAAAAAACAGATTTTATAGTGCTTGATAAAAACTTTTTACGGCTTTCTTGGAAGTTGGATGTTTGCCAGTTTTCAAGAAGCTTAAAAAATGGAAGCTGTAGCTGCTGATTATAAACAAATAGGAACAAAANACATATATATATTAGTGCCATTTCTAATGTGAAACTGATAGGTGTGTTCGAAGTATGTTGGAACTTAAAATAGTGGCACAAACCTGTTGCAGGTCCAAAGACAAAAACAGGCATTGGAATGTATGTCTCCTCTTTAGTGACATTGTGTACAAGACAGAGCATGAAAGGACTTAAAGGAGTTGGCGTGACATGTTGAAGACAAAGTAGGTTGGGTATTTAACACGTTGAAAGCAATACATCGTACATCTGAAATGCCAAGTCACAAATACCGTCCTTTTAGTTGAATGAGACAAACATTTACARTTCTTATGGTGATGATTAAGACAGTTATTTTGCTTATGTCATCATTACTGTTCTCCAGCTATAATAAAGTAGAAATTTGATGCTAGCGTCCTCACACAGTGAGTTGATTGGTATATTTAAATGTAACATGTTTCTTGTCAAATTTAGCACATTTTTTTCAAGTGAAAAATACCATTTAATTATCTTCCCTTTTAAAAAACTAATTGTTCTATTAATATTACTTTATCTTGTAAACCTGTGTGTCTTTTTAGTTGATAACAAATTAAATTCCTTTTAATAGTTGTTTGAACCTCCAAATCCATGTCACATAAAGAGTGAAATGTATTAATTGATTAAACTGGAATGACATAATCTTGAACATAAATGTCGACATGCATAATTTTGTTTTCTTGTATTTTCATTAGAGTTACTTCACCACATACAGGCCCTGACTTAACAGTGTTTTAGGTATTTTAGTGTAAATTAAAGGGTATTTTTCACAAACRGTAAATTTAAAAAGAATGTTTTGGAAAAACTGTTTTCATGTGAACAAAGTCTGCAGCTCAGCTGTTTTATTGTTATATTGTAATGAAGCTATTAGAAATGCAATGGTTTTAAACAGCTTTTATATAACCAGCAGAGTGCACTCCAAATTGCTTTCTTGAACCTTGGTTTTGATCATTCAGCTTGTCTCTGCCTGCCCTTCCTCAGAAGCCTTTGACCTCTCCCAGATGTCCAACATGGTTCTCCTTTGTGTTAAAAGCAGCCCTCACCCCTCCTCCTGTTACATCATAGCTGCTACCCCAAAGGCAGCTGCTGTCCACATCCATTTTTAACGTCCATTACTTCAAGATGAATGATCTCCTTCAGATGCTACACAGCCACTGTTGTTCTGTCAATGCAAACATGCWGCTGAAAGCAAAGCATGTGTAAAACCTATAGGCTATATGTATCATGTGAGGAGCAGTAAGTGACCTGCTGCTGTTCTCCTGTTGCTAGCTTACTTTGGATCATGTATTTTAAATGAGTTACTGGTGCACTCACAGTCATGTTTGTATTCTTATTCTTGTTTTTCTTCCCCTTTTGAACAAACATCAGTCATAACAGACATGTAATTACATCACTTCTTTGTGCCAGTGTCTGATCTCATTTATCTCTGCCTCTCTTGTCTGCTAGGCTGCTGGAAAGCGGTGACACAGAGGAGCCTAAGGGTAAGATAAAGCCTCTACTTTCTCTGCACTCGTGTCCTCTATTGTTTCACCGGCTGCTTTCCCATCCGAGGACTTTCTATTAGTCAGGCTGAAAGGAATACAGAGCTCCCAGCTGATGTCGGATCACGTCTCGGGTTTATCGACGCGTTCACTTTAGAACACATCTGCAGAGGAGTGTGACTAAATTAAAGCAGCTATGAACCTTTGTTTTGTTAATGAATAACACGGGGAAATTTTTAGCCATGGTGGTTTTTATTTTAGAAACTACAGGAGAAAGTGTTTGCAGACAACCGGATTAAATACTGTGACTTAGAGCTCTAAGCTTTAGATCAGTTTYCTTTACGTTCTAATTTGCATTGCAGGGAGGAATCTAGGCCACTGGCAAAAATGTCTGCTCACATTCAGCCACCTGTGCCCACAGCCTCCAAGACTTTGTATCATATGGCCAAATATCACGTCTCTTGAAAGATGTGTCATTTGTTTAAAAAAGCACAGACAGTCTCAATCAGTTTTGTTAGATGACCATTTTAGTCCACTGAAGCTCATTTTGAAGTCAGCTCTTTGAGTAGGGACATTCTGTTTCTACAACATCTCTGTTTACTTTGCTCTGTCAGTGGCAGCAGTTCTTTCATCGTCGTGTCTGCTAAAATGTAAATGTTTCTCTGCAAGCAAGCATGCAGGTGACTTACAAAACCTAAAGAGGAATGTAGTGGCATTTAACTGACATAAAAAAATAAAACAGACTTATTAATCTTTTGAGAAAATTATAAGCAATAAATGCTTAATTTTGTTATTTTAAAGTAGACATATAATTCAAAATCTTTTTTTTTTTTTAGCAATTAAATAGATTTTGCTGTGTACTTGGAGTCTTAAGGAGTGCAGAAAATTTAACATTAGACTTCCCGGTGCTGTGCAGACATCTTTATGTTCTGTTTGGGTTATATTTTTTCAAACTGTCCAGTTTTCTCTATTTTCTATGACATTTTCTGATCTATTACATCACAGTATTTGCAACAGAACTGCCAAATAAGGTCTGAACTTACCAACTACAGTTTGGTGGTCTTCATTTTCCTCTGGTCAGACTCTGGCTCCAACATGTAAAGCTGGACGGACGAGTCTTCCCTTGTTGGCATCTTTTAATTCATTTATAAATAAAAAAGTTTCTGCGCCACTTTATAATCATAAACCCCTCTATCAAACTAGAATGGACAGCTCTAGAAGCTGGAGGGGGGGTGGGGGAGTGTAAATCGCCTTGTTTGGATTTAAAGAGACAGCCTTAAAATGAGTTTCTCTCAGACATACCTCAGTAGAGTGGTGAAAGTGGGGCTTGTGGAGTTACAATAAGGAGGAATTCAGACCAAAGCATTGCAGTTCCACTTTAAATAGACCCTAATTGTATGATTTAAATGTGAAAGGAGGGATTTTAAATCATGATATGTCTTTTTTTAAGGGATAAGATAATGATGGTTTATAAGCTTTCCACAGAACCCAACTTCAGATGTTCTGAACTATCATTATCACTACATTTGTCTTTTGGTTTTGCTATAATTGCAGCTGAGTTTTACATGATTCAGGATGTCACCTTTGCTCCRAGTTGTGCATGATTTCATGTAATTCTCTATTCTTCAGAGCTTCCAGGCCTATACAGTATTTACACATGGCTGTTCTAAGGTCAAAGGTTCCTTCAATAAGCTCTTAACAGGGCAGTGTTGAAGGACAGATGAAAACACTTAAGGAATAGTCTGTTGACTTAAGCAGAAGTTWTTCCATTTCTTCAGTTTCTTTTTCTTTTTTTTTTTTCTCTGACTGCAGTTTTGGCCTTGGATCACATTATGTAAAAAGTAAATAAATTGGACCCAAGTCAAAACTATGAGTGCAGTTCGAGTGGAGTCACCAGTCTGCAATGCTTAATAGTTCATCATTTGAAGTAAATCACATTAGGCTCAGAGCAGCAGGGGAGCTTGAAACATGAATCAAAAGTGGAGGACTTTTTTTTTTTTTCCTTCAACTGGAAACACTTAGTTTTTCAGAGACATGCTATTATTTTGGATTAAAATATCACATTGTCAAAGCAATAAAAAAGATTTAAAGGGGGAGACTGGATTAAATTGCAGTGAATTAGGAAATTTCTTTAAAATATTATTACATTTAATGAGTTCCTTGTGTTTAGAAAATTGTATTTTCAGTGCTTTTCCCCCCCGTCAGATCAGAAAGGATTTATTTACATTTTTTTCACTGAACAGATGCCTAACAACAGTAAAAGTCATCCACTATTGAAAAAAATGATTTTGTTGCTTTTGAATTGTAACTAAAAATACATGCTTTGCCTACTAATGGTGTTTACAAGGCAACATGAGGGCAGTCTTTTCTTGGACCAACACTGAAGTCAGTAACATCATCTCCAGCAAGAAAAATGTCCACCTCTCTGTGTATAGAATCACTCTGGTTTACGTTTTGCATATTTAAGTAGAGACAGATCAGCGTTTTGTATTTCTCTTGTTGTATCTGTGATCGACACTAAGTATGTGTATTGTGTGCTTTTAGATGAAAGGAAACCCGTGGAGTCTGCCAATCGAAGTGTAACTTCAAAGATATCTCATTTGATGGTACAGTATTTAARTGTTTTATTTTACCATCTGTCCTCCTTTATGCAGGGATGTGTGTCCCTTTTTATTTCCACTGTCACTCTTGAAAGTGTTAAGTCTCAGGACTCAAACCATCTTAGSGCATATAATTACATTTTGGTGTGTGGCCTTGGCTTAGGCAAAGGTAACTTTAGTTTAGATTTGGCTTAACACAAGTAGTTGTTAGAGTCAGTGTCAGCCTGAAGACAGTTATATCAGTATGAAGTCCTCTGACCTGGGTATAACTGGAACACAATTTTCTGTCGTTTACGTTTGTCACACATGTTCTTGTATGTAAGCTTGCTCGATCCAGAATTTCTACATAGGCTTTGAAGTTAAGTTATGCACAATTTGTGTGCATTTGCATTTGCTTAATGTAAACTATAACCCGTGTCTGTTCTGTTTTCTGACACAATTTATCTTTTTAAGCTAGTTTCCTTCATCCTTGGAGTAATTATCTAATCATTTGTTTAGAGGTTTAAGCTTACAAGAGGTCAAGTTTGTAGTAACTGTAGAGATAAAAAAAAAAAACACTAGCGTAAGCCGCACCTATCCCATCCACTGTTGGCATCTGTGGCAACATGGAGGAGCAGAAACTGCAACCATACAGCTCTCCAACTGGATCTGTCCCAATTTTTTTTTGTAATCTTTTTACAATAAATCAGTTTAACTGTTGTGTCAGTTTCACAGTTTTATATACGATAGCTTATATACATATTAAAAATAATTTTGTTAAYATTATTAATAGTTTTCATGATGCCTACATTGTCAGTCCTTTTTTTTCACTATGCTGCCAACATGTACAATAATGATAGATCCAGACTCTTGCTCGTCTGCTTAGCATCGTAGCTTCTACAGTAGATCATATGGTCATGTGGTTTAGACCAGTGGTTCCCAAACGTTTTATCTTCTGACCCACAAAATATCCATGGCAAAAACTTGTGACCCCAAATATTACTGGTCTGAGTACATGAACTTTGTTAATAACCCTAAAATCACAGGCTTTTTGACAATCTAAACAGCTTGTATACAAATATAAATACTTATTTATACTTATTTTGTGTTTTTGTAATAAATATAGGGAAAATATTACATCAGCAAATATTTTATTACCCTTTAAATTGATTTCTGGAGATTATCCAAGGTGCTTCATGACCCATAATTGGGTTCCAAGCCCAACTTTGGGAACCAAAGTGCAGTGGTTCCCAAACTTTTCAGCCTTTGACCCACAAAATAACAGTAGCAGAGACCTGTGCACACAACTATTTTTGKATGATAAACATTTGTATCAGGTCAACTAAACATGGGCATAGTAACAATATTTTTATACTACATTTATCCATTTTAAATACACTAACCTCACTCCTTTGTAACAACTAAGGCAAAAATGTAATTAATTCAGAAAATCTTTTCGGGACCCCACCTTGATGTTTCGGGACCCCACTTTGGGTCCCGACCCCAACTTTGGGAAAGACTGGTTTAGACTCACTCCAGTTGTTCTATAGACCTCCATGGCTGTAACTTTTCAGGTGTCCCTTTACTGGATCTTCAGGTCATTTACAGATTGGAAATTGTAAGTTAAAATATTTTTCACATTTTAAAGCATTTGGATGGAAAGTGATAGATATCAAGAAAGCCTTCCCACCTCGTCTCTATCCAAACTGTCTTCTTTTTGCCAGTATTTATAAGCATTAACTCTAAAATCTGACAGCACTATATTAAGCTTGAATATTTCAATTTACACATAATCTGCTGATATGACAGTTACTTAGTCTTGCTGCTGTCTGTGTTTTCTCTTTTCCTTTCACATCCTGGTTTCCATGCATTTTCCAGTGCAGCTGTTACTCACTTCAGCTCTTCTCTGGAAGTTTGCTTCATTAATAACAAATTAAGCCATTCCTTACTGCGCTGAGATTCGTGCACCTGGTTGCGAGCCTGGCCAAAGTTGTGACTTCAGCTCACACAGTCCATGGAGGTCTGAACACACTTGTGGGAAGAAAAGTTTCGAGCTCTACATGATGCACTCAGGAGCAAAAAACTCGAGATTATCCCAAATCCTGTGGGAAATCGTCACATGTGAGCTTGAAATGAACTGAGAAACTGGTTTTCCCATGCTGCTGAGGTTTCAGAGGTGGTTAGGTTTCATGTTAGATGTGAATAGCTGTTCTAATTTGGCATTTACAGRCCAGGATCAGCGCCAGTCTTTGCCAAGTGAACCCAGATGGCTGCAAGTTTTTTTCTAACAAACAAACTTTGCAGAAAAACAGGTTCTTAAAAGAAACCTCTGTTTCTGTTTCTTATCATCCATCTTTTGCTCCTGACTAAAATCTCATACCTTAAGGCTCCTCAGTTCACTATCAGCAACGATGACAGATAACATKTTTCTTTGTGTTCTAGTTTCTTTACCATTTCTGTTGAAAACCAGCGAGTCTCTATTAGAGGAGACAGAGTTAATTAGGTTTACACGTAATCTGGTACATTTGCTTTTTAACATAAATAAAGGCAAGGAAAGATATACGTGGTTACTACTACAGAACAACAACTCATTCTTACTCTGAATTTCCTGACAGATTTATTTGGATGTGAAAATGTGTGTTGCAAAAAGACAGTAAATCCCGCTTTGTGGAAAACAACTTCCTTCCATTGATCAGTGAGTAGCGCTAAGAGGCTTCTCTAATTTTCGGAAATGCAATTTAGGGTATTTTCCTCACAGCTGGAGAGCTACTTATCCTCACCAGGTCATGCCAGGGGCTCACTGAAGTGTTTTCTGACTCGGCTTCAGGCTTCGTGCTGCACACATGTTGGGCAAAGATTCWCTTGTTGACCTTAAAAGAAACAGACATTCAGATGTAAATGTCTCCTCATTAGACTTTCTTGAAAACCGAAGAGAAGATTAAGTATCATACAGTTAATTTGGCTTTTTAGTTCAGTTTTAATGAACTAAAAATATAATTATTTCACAAAATTTGCCACCTTTCTTTTGAGAAAGGACTCCAGAAACAAAACTTGTAAGATTTAGCAGACTTATGTTCTTACTGTACCAAGTTGTCACAAAATAGAAAGTTTACAGGAAATTTGTTTGTAGAAAATTATTATTTTTTGTCTTCACCAAAGATTTTATTGGGACTTTGGAAATCCACACACACATGATGAATATTAGGCCCAGTCATTTTACTTGATTAAGTAAAATAAGACGTTTGTTAACTTTGTATAAAAGTTGGTAAAAGAGGGAAAAAAATGTGCAGAATTTTATTCAAACACTCCTCCTACTATTTATAAACAAATCAGTTATACTTGAGGGTTGTGTTGCGTCAAAGTGACAGAACATTTCATTGATCGAGAAGAAAAAGAAAGAAAGAMAAAAAATCAAGTCAACGACAGTAAGTCTAAACACGCCTCAAACGTGCTTCAGATTCCACGTTGATTCCAGAAGTGCAAGCTAAAACTCTTGTGCGGTTCCCTGACTTAAACATCATCCAGATCTGCGGACGGACCTCAGGGCAGCAGGTTACACAACACCACATAAATATTGAAGAATTCTGAGCATTCTGCGTAGTAAACATTGTACAAACCGTAACTGATACAAAAAATATTTAAAAGCTGTAATATTTGCACACCAGAAATCAGCACTCAGCATAATCAATCTTCCTATTACGGACAAAAGAAACAAACAGCTTAGAGTGAAACTCTTCTTTACTCTTTCCACAATCGATAAGAAGCTGAGCACTACTTGTTTGATTCATTTTTATGACCATACATTTAGCTTGGTGTTTAAAAATGTACGAGTTACAGGATGTCAATGCGTCTCCTCTGTCATGTTGTAAATCACGATTGGGTGTTACATGCAGCAGTTCTAATTACAACCATGCTTAAAGTGATTTGTTTCAAGTTTATTCATTAAAATGATTCTAGTTTAGGAATTAAGTCATCTTTTTCACCCTTAGCTATTCGCAGCTACAGAATCAGTGATTGCCGGTGCCCAGACATTTGCATGCCTTTTTTATATAAAGATCAACATCAGATCATTTTCCTCTTAGCAGCTCAGTCGGAGCACTGCAAGGGTTAAGTGCTATTCCTAAAAGCAGGGGTGGAGCCTTATTTATTCACTCACTTCCCTTATCAAGATAATCCTCACAGCTTGTATAGCACCTTGGCAGGATTTCTTTCGAATTCAAGCCCAGTTCTTGCTCTAACCGCCCTCTTTACATGTAGGACCACGAAAGGACGGAGGATGGAAGCAGCAGCCAGCGTTGTGGTGACAAACTAAAACATCAGTGGAACAGCAGCAACGACGAGGAATCATCTACTACCAGGTAAGGAATCCAGCATGAGCAAACTGTCTTATATATTTTACACTAAACGATGCTTTATTTGCTACTTTTAAATATTGTGTGATGAAACCCCAGAAACAGATTGATACACTTTTTAAAGTAGTTGACATCCACACCCAGCAAACTGAGCATTCTGAATGGAACACTGAGGTAATTACAGACGAGTTGAAAGACCGTCATAAACAGCTGCTCAGATGCACAGCGTAGATAAACCTGCAGAACTTGCCTCATTATCATTGTTTTTATGCGTGCACACAACTACACGTACAAACATGAGCCTGAGGTAGCTGCTAATGCTAAGCAATTGAAGCAGCAGCTTCAGTTTTGAGCCTCAGCTTGGGTTTAACACTAACATATTAGTAATAATTTGTAAGAATGTGTAGATATTTCACTTTAGAACCATATCAATTCTTTTATAAGTGTAAAAGGTTTGAATGGACACAGAAACGGTTCAGTTTATTCCAAAATCAAGAATTGTTCTAAAGTAATGTTACCACCTGTTTTTTTTTTTTTGTCACCAGCCTTTGTTGCAATGAAGCAGTATAACTGTAACCGCACAGAAATGCAGAAGTATGATGAAAGCAAATGATTTTTTTCTCTGAGAAATATTACTACATTCTTGATTTTAAAGTAYCATCCAGTAAGATAGACCAGTGGATGCTGGTCTTTCAAGAAGGGGAAGCTCAATTTCGGCCTACTTCATAAAATGTGTTGGTTTATTTATATGTAAATTCTACCCTCCGGTGCTTTTTTTTAAACTTGAAAATTACTTTGATGAAGTGTTATAATCTTGTCTAAAGTATTGTTTTGTTGTAATTTTGTGTGTTGAAATTTGTTATAATTTTTTTGTGTTGAATTACTTTCGCTGTATGCTGACRGTAAAGTTGGTGGTTGGTGGTTAGTTGGTGGTTGATTTTATTTTGCAAGTAGGGGCAGATATTATAAGTGTATACTTCTTTCTGCTCCTTTTCATTCATGAATTATTTTAACTTAGTTTTGTTATCCTTGGTCAGTGTATCTTTTGGTCATTGGATTTTCATTTTCGAAACGGGTATTAAAAAACAAGAAACAAGTGGATATTTGATTTTTGTTTTAAAATACTGAAATTAAAATTAAAATATAAAGCGTAGGGTTGGGCGATATTGGCAAAAAAATTAATCACGATTAATTGTGGTATTTCGCCGATAACGATTAATTTGACGATTAATCCCCTGGAGTCCCTGGACACCCTTATGTCCTGGTCACATGACTAATTTAGTTGGAAAGATTTGCTCTTCATAAAAACCTGTTCCAAACGGTCAAAATTACAGACAGGCTATGCATTCGGGCTATACGTCAAATTTTAAATTGTGTTGCTAGATAAATATATTTCAGAATTTATTTTTTWATTTTTTTATGTTTGTTATATTTAAAGCGGAGAGGCGCACCGAGTGGACCGACCGGGGAAATATCTAGTTAATCTGCCTGGTGACATTAATCGTATTAATWGTCAAGTGCCAAAAAAGTAATCGATTAATGTTTTTCTGACGATTAATTGCACACGATACGATTATGCCCAACCCTAATAAAGCGTTTCTCGTTGTTAGTGCCAAAAAGGGATGAACGAAATTTTTAAAATGATTTGAGTTTCATTATCTGTTTCAGATAGCAAAAAAGAAAATTAGTTTAAGGCAGAAACGAAAAAAGGCTTATTTGTTCATAATCCATGACAGGTCATGCCAACTTACTGTATCCCTATAAACTGTTTCACCGTCTGCAATATCAAAGTTACTCAATAAACATCCCATTACAAGTAAAAAGCATTGCAACTGACTTCGGTATCGAATATATTTGACAAGTATTTATTTGGTATCAGATCGATATCAAAGTCGTAGCACCGCCCACCCCTTGCTGAAAGGAAAACTCAGAGGATGCAAACTGACAGAAAAAAGCACAGATTTTGTCAAAACTCAGGAGGAAAAAAAACCTTTGTGCTCACAGAACAACAACTGTACAACACACTAATAGAATGAAAGTTGTCTTATTTTGCTTTTTATTGAGAGAAATGGAGATGAAGTGGAGGCAGTAGCCAACATGTATTCAGTAAAAGAGACTTATTTGGCCAAAAACCACATGAATTATCTCTGCAAAGCCTTTGGTCACTGAGCGACAGTCATCATACAACTTATTTATGGACACTTCTCTGTGTTTCAGCCTTTTATGTACAGAAATTAGTGTTTCATTATGCAGACCCGCCAGGCGAGCGCCCCTTCTGGTGGGGGAATAGATAGTCATAGAATACAAAAAACAAGCCTTTTTCTGTTTGTGTCTTCAAGTAATTTTCTTTTTTTTCTATCTGAAACAGAAAATGAAACTCAAATTATTTTTAACATTTTGTTTATCCCCTTTCGACACTAAGAATGAGAATGGCTTTGTATTTTAATTTTAATGTCAGTATTTTAAAACAAAAATCAAATATCCACTCATTTATTGTTTTTTAATACCGTTTCGAAAATGAAAATCCAATGACCAAAAGATACACTGACCCTCCTTGACTTTCTGATTTTGAATGCATCATTGTTTATTTTATTTTTCATTTCTTTTTTATTTTATTATTTGTTTTTTTATTGGATGATGTTTTTTTCTGTTGTTTTTATTAGATCTTTTTTGTTATTATTGGATTTTTTTTTTATTATTGGATGACTTGCTGTTTTGTACTCATATTTCACTTCATGATTGAAATAAATAAACCAAACTAAACTTTTCACAAAAATGATCTGTGACCCTGTCACAGATCATTTTACAGCACTTCCAGTCACTCATTTGTCATACCAGGACTTTTCCCCACATTTTGCACCAAATTAATCTGAGGAGTTGATCAGCCCTGCTGTTTAACTGACTGGCTTCACCAAAATCCGGACCACAGCATTCAAACTGTCTGCCATTATGTGCAGCTTGCTACCAAGCTAGCTCGCTAGCTGAGACTGGCGCGAGGCTAGTGTGAAGTGAAGTGTGTCCGTYTGTGAGTGCATTGTGACAGTGGAGGGGCTCAGCAGCACCCGCTGGACAGAAACTGCAATAGAAGTCAGAAAGAGTGCTAGAAGTCAGTCTCTAAACACAAGCAGCTACAAAACAACCTCCAAAAATAGAAGCTCGATTTGTTGCTAGTCGTTTTTAACAAAGAAAATGCCGCTAAAAGGATTAATAAAGTGTCCGGTTCAACTCAGAACAGAATGAAAATTTTAAAATGCTCCCACGGAATGTTTACACCAAAAGATCGCTGATTTGCTGTGTTCACTGTCAATCAAAAAGGGATTCAGCCTCCGACAGATCATCCAATCATCATGCAGAAGCTGAGCGTCCGGGCCAGCCGAGGCCAGCCCACTGACCCATAGACCCCCAGAGACGCTGAACGTCCGACGGGCGGGACAAAGCCAGCATTTATCCAACGACTCGTCTCGTTTCACTGCAGTCTTTGCATCACTAATGAGCTCTGTGGAAGCTCAACGTCCGCACTGTAAAGCACTGTGAAGCTGCGTCGTCACCAGTGATAAGAAGCTGATTCTGAACAAAAGTTGAGCGCGTTGTAGCGCATATTTAGTCAATGACATGTACACACAACATTATATACCNCATGTACACACAACATTATATACAGTATTTGATCACTTATTTTTTGATAGGGGAAGCTGAGCTTCCCTTGGTGTCTTACAGCAATCGCCTCTGAGCTAGACGCTAAAAGCCTAATTGCTTCTGATTGTTGGTGTGTTATTGAGACACAGAAGTGCTGGATGGAATGCTTTTATAATTATCTCCTAGTCTAATGCACATTGAGTGGTCATTAGATGGCTTGCTACAAATGTAGTCCATTTACCATGGGCAGATGTTGTGTCTATGAAGATAAAATAAGGCTGTGTAAAAATGAGGCGAGTTGTTTCCCGTATGTGTGTGACGTGGTTTTCCTTCACTGACCTACATGAGATAAGGGGCAGATCTTGGGTCTACAAATTCCAACAGGAGACATGATGGAAACAGAGATTTTGAGAAAATCTTTTATCTTGTTTTCTAAAGAAAATATTTAACCAAATTCAGAAATTTTGTGAACATACTTAAATCATGAAATTGTGACTTAGACTAGACTCTGGAAATCCTTCCAAGCAACATACAGTTAATAATTTTGCAATAATCACAATAATTTTTTAGTATTTTTCCAATCACACATTAAAGCTCTGTTGAAGTGGAGTTCTGTGAAAATGTTGTGAACAATTACTATTATATTTGTTGCGGGTACCTTCTTGACCACAGCTTAGAGAAATTGAGTTTAATTCATGAGCTAACAGGTAATCTGAGTTGGTCCAAGACCAACATGTTTTAAAACAACTTCATTTCACTCTGGCTTCACTCAGAGTAGCTGTTACCTCATAAATCCATCAGAAATAAACTCTCATTTCTGCAAACTGAGGTCACTCAAACAGCTACAACTTGTTATATAAAGATTATTCATAACCTTTTAATAGAACCTGAGCTTTTGCTTTGACAACAATGTCTTTATTTTGACCGATTATTTTAAAAAATGCAATCGATATCCAGAACAAAGGAAAGATAATTTAACTTGGTGTTTGCAAGCTTTCTGATATTTCCATCCCACTGTTTCACTTTGTTCCATCTTTGCATCAGTTTTCACAGTGTTTGTGTTTCTGCTGATGTTTCAGTCTCCCTAATGCTAATAAGGAAAAGGCAATGGAACAGTCCACAGATGCATCTTCCAGGAAGGAGGAGCAAGAACATGCAGCCAGTTCAGAGGAAAATCAGGTCAGTTTTCTCTTCATATACAGTTTGATTAATTAAACAGACAAAAACTATGAAGCCATCATAAAAATAGCAAAGTGTTTTCATAAATCAGTACACTSAACTATAAAAGGCATCTCTGTGGAGTAGGTTTATTTTTGACCATTTCTGCTGCACTGAAAAAGACCATATGCAAGCTAATTCCAAAACTCTTACTCACCTTAAATTTGGCCTTGTTTTTTTTTTCCCCCCTTCTGACTTGGTTTAAGGTTTGTTTTTGTTTTATTTTGTTTTTTTAATCAATTTGCAGATTATAACTTTATGTTTTTAGAGTTGCGCTGCAGCAAACACGTTCTTTTTCTATTCAAAACAAAACGTTATTGCTTAGCAGAAATCCTAAACCGATTCACACTGGTGATGAAATTCTGCACGTTTTTTTTTTTTCACACACACACAAAACCACGCACTCTGGTGTTGATTAAAACAAACTGACTGGTTAACGGTGCCCTGTCGCACCCAGCCTGGCCTCACAATCTGCTTCTCCTCCTAAATCAGCACGCCTCCCTGACCTTTGGCCTGTCAGTTCGATGCATGGTGCTGTTCCAGCTGCTGTTGTTTCTTTTTAAGTGATAACATACTGAGCACACACAACACATACATCATCCCTTGTGTGTTTTGAAGAACAGTGGAGCTGTTTTAAATTCACTGCCACAGCTTCAAAGCCTTGGGGCATTTTCAGGTTTGTTTTACACGACATCTGTTCACCATTAGCAGGCATTATATTTATTTAAAAAAAAGAAAAAGTTTGACATTATAAACAGTTCTTTGAGATTTGTTGACAAATGACAAATCATCCTCTGTCCTTCAGGATGCATTTTTATTTCTTTTGCTCATCAGTGTTTAGAAACTCACTTTGTTGCTTAATGAAATTGTGACATTGTCCTTGATATCTACTTGCTATTATATATTTCTGAAAAATCTTTGTTCATATACAGTATTTTATAGTGTTTTATAAGAACTTCAAGTGCTAACACACTTATTTTCTGCACTTATACACTTACACTTCAGGTTGTACTGGAATTTAAAGATTGCTCTTATGATAATTCTATCCGTACCCGTCTTTTTTTTCCATCTTTTTTTACATTAGCCCTCCAGTTTGCACTCAGATCGAACTCTTGCTGACTCGCCTCCTTCCAGTCCTCTCTGCCAGTCTGCGTCCTCGCTGCAGCGCCAAGACTCTGGGCCTCAAGGTATCAAGGGAATCCTAAAGAAAAGCCGCTCCACCAGTATTGAGTCGGACCACAGCGACGGCTCCGTGCCCACACGCCTGCCTTCTCGGCAAACCAGCGTCACCCTGAGCCACCCTGAGAGTGAGGAGGAAGAGGAAGAGGTAGAAGAAGAGCTCAGCAGGGAAAGCGACAATGAGGATGCGTCATTAAACAACGATATCATGGATGGAGGGAGTTACAGCACTGACAGAAGACAGAGGCGCAGCAGCAGCAGCAGCAGCAGCAGAGGGAGTTTTGAGGAGGTGCTAAGCCCCTCGCCTAACGAGAGCCAGGAGAACACCTCAACAATGTCAGAGGATGTTGACGAACTGGAAAGCAGTTTGGATCAGAGTCTCAGCTCATCGTTTAAACAAAGGTCAGGTTACACACAAATACCCAAATCTGTATAATACAAAGGCAGAAAAGCTGTTTACACTTAAACTCATCATAACTTTTGAATTTTTACGGTAGTTTCATTTATTTCCCCACCCAAAACAATGCACTTTTATTCTACAAGTGTACTATCTAAAGCAGAGATTTTCTATGAATAACTGAAGACCAAGCAATAATTTAAAGATAAGCCAGTGAATACAACCTGTCTTACTCTGAGGCCCTGTTTACATAAGAACATGCTCCGGACACTGCAGGACCTGCACCTAAAATATTGCTGTATTAACAGGAGTTTTCCTTAAAAAACATTATAAATGCAAATTATAAATGGAATTATGGTGCAGTCCTACCATAAATATAGATAAGAACAAAAAAACAATAGCAATGAAAAAAAATTTTTTTTCTCCAGTATGGCTTTGTTGACTACTGAGGATGATGAAAAGAAAGACAGACTGAAGAAGCCAAAGACAACTGAGCTGATCCAGACATCACTGGCTGATCGCTTCAATAAGCTCCAGGATTCTGAAAATGCCTGGAAGAAAAAGGTAAGTTTCATTTACAATGCACTAACTGTGTGGTGCTGCTGTGTTTTGGGGTGGAATAGGGGTCAAAAATGGAGTGAAGCCAAACTCAGCTTGAGCTGTCTCTTGACTATTTTATTAGATGGTAAATGGCTTGGTACGCTGCCTTCAGTCTGCACTATATTGCCCCCTAATGCCTGGAAGGGTCACCGCCAACACCCACCTCTGTWAAAGTCATTTTAGTTATGTAATAATACAACTTTTATTGCCATTGCAAGTCGACTCAGCTCGTTTTATTTGGTTATTAATATTATATTAGGTTGGTGTCAAAACGTTCCGCCTGTTCACATGTGTTATGTGTTCCTTTGCTCTGCAGTCAACCAAATAGTGGACTTTGGAGTGTGCCTTAGCTGATTCTGCAACCCTGGCTTAATGTGTATGAGCAAATACTAATGTAATAATGAGCCTCTTTTGTTTGGCTTGTTAGATTTTCCAAAGRGAAACTGCAGCAGCTTGACTAGTTTTTTTCCTCCATAAAGCACAATTATTGTGTAAAAATGATAAGGTCTTAGGAAGACATTGAATCTTTTTAAACAGAATGCTGTTTATTTCTTTTGGACTTTTAGAGCCTGTTGTACACATTTAGTTAAAATCATAGAGTTCCAGTTAAATGGTGAAATAAATTTTTCTTTGATGTAACAAACCCAAAAACACACACTTACTCATATTTCCACATGCTTTGAAGAGGAAAGAAAATTTATGATGGCATCAAGTTAAGAATTACCACCATTTTTGGTGGGTTTGAAGAAGTGGCAGTAATGATCGAAAGCAGTCAAAGGTTGCAGCTTCTACTTATCTTTGTGTAGAAGCTAAAGGTCTTGGCTGTGGATAGTATYCCCCCTCTGCTGAATCAGCTCCGTTGAGGAATGCTTGGGGTTGCGGCAGGTTTAGGAGTGGAGATCCTGGGCTCAAATACTTCCCAAGAAGAATAAACAACACACCTCCCGTCCTCTTGTRCAAATAAAATGTTACACCATGACCAAACACCTGAAGGCATTCCAAGCCTTCTGCTTTTGTTAGATTTTTTTAACTCATTGTACTTCTCCTGAAGTTAGAAAAATAAAACCATATAAAAGCAGGCCGTTGTGTTCATCTCTGAGTTTCATCCCCAACAATGAGCCAGTGATGTCACATTTATAAAGAACATCTTTGTCTGATGTCTATCAAGCTCAGGTATCCTCTTTAGGGATTTCTCCTTTGGGTTCATACTTCAAAGATGAGCTCACCTTTGGTCCACTCCAAGACTGGAAAAAATCAGCTGTATTAAATTAGAGCAGTTCCCCAGTCAGATACTGATATGATGTCATTTTATATCTGTGTGGTCTCCTTTATTTATAATRCCTCAGCACAAAATCCAAAGAGATTTAGTGTGTTTCCATTATTGGCACAAAAACTGCATCCTCAACAATTTTTTTTTTTTTTTCCTTTTGAAATGCCAAAATTATTACCTTCAAATGTATTTGTATTCCTGTGACCCAGAAAGATAATTGGTGAAATGGATGGATGGATGGATGGATGGATGTGTATTTAATTTTCGAAGAAACTAACATGGTCTGAATAACATTGAAGTTATCAGCTCACACATGACTATTCTTGGTGTATTTTTGGCCATTTTTTAAAATGAAAAGTGATTGTTTTTCTTATTTTAGCYCTTACTTTCATTCACAGTTAGATCAGATGTTTGTGCTCTTTGGTTGACATGTGAAAGACCCGAGAATGTACAATGAAGACCATGATGGAGTCCAGATGTTTCCTGTTAGACCTGCTAAGCCTTTCTGTGCACCGTGGTGTTGTAAAGTGACGCCTGGTTGTAAATTTGATTTAAGCGGGAGGTGGGTGTTGCCATGTCATAAGGAAGAACTGTTAGTCAGAGTTTGTGTTGACCGATGACATCTTTTTCTTCCTGGGAAAGGAATAAAGCCCTGAAACTAAAATAAAAACGTCTGCTTTGTGGCATTAAATGAAACTCTTGCGGAGCTTTAAGTTAGAATTTTCAGATGGCTTTCATTAAATTCACAAACGAAGTTTTAATGTGGAAACTCACCAAAAAGACTCAGTTCAGCTGCAGTAATCATGATTGAGAAACATTAATATGATGATTCAGATTTCATCAACTGTCAGGTTTATTATGTCTTAACAGTGTTGTACCTTAGTACGCTTCAGCATACTGTTTCTGTGATTAATGTGCAGCCAGTTTGACCCAGCTAAAGCCATAAAATAGATCTATAATTTTTAACACTATAAATATGGTTTATGTATGCACAGCATAATGTGAGAATCCACATATAGTGATAAACATCCCCACTCCACCCACTTTATGTTCAGTAAATAACTAGTCTTCTAACTTAAATCTTCCAGCAGAAACTGCAGCTGCTTGTCGCCCTGCTTCTTCTCTCCTTTAATTTTCCTTTCTTTTCCCCTCTTCTGGATTTCCTGCCCTGTTTATTCCCTCAGTTCCTACCGTCCTCTCTTTCCTATGGCCCCTATCTACACCTGCAGACTTCCTTCCTTTCTTTGACTTTGACACCTGCCTGTCAACCTTCCCTCGTTCCTTCAGGTGAGTTTGAGCACGTGAATTAAGCGCGYGTCTGTTTTGCATGGATGTGCCTGCTTAATGTGTTGCTCCGATTTCTTGACGACCTCTGAGCTTTTTGTTTTCAAATGAGAAGTCTGAGCTGTTCATTTTGTTGTTTTACTGCTTCACAGGTGGTTGGTGTCTGTGTCAGTGGGTTGGTTAAAGTATGTAGCAAAGTTTTAGGGCAAAAAGGTGGTTTCCTGTTGTGATTTGGGGGCCTCTACACTCATGTCTCTGGGGTCCTGTCAGGCCATGGTATTTCCCCTCTCTGATCGAATCCAGGCAACAGATCATAGCTAGGAGGTTATGACAGCACAAAAAACTGTGAGAGACCTGCAGTTTGTGTTTGGACAGATGGTGCAGTCTGTGTTCTAGCAGGGTTGTAGGAGATTAACCCACTCTATGTTGTGTTTTAGAAAAAGGATAATGTGGTATTTTACATACAAAAATTTTATGAAACGACTAATTGATTAGCCACGGCTGATTTTTGCCAGGAGTTATTTTTTTTCCCTCATCTTTCACCATGGCCGTGCTTGAGTATAGTAAGTCAGTTAAAAGGCAGGCACAAATATGGGCAGCAGTGTCAGTACACTTAAAAACTTCATTCTTGTGTCAATATATTTCAAATTAAGCTAGCTTTCAGAGCTATATTTATTTTCTTCCATAAAAAAGCGATAAATTATAAAGAAAATTTATTGAAATATGTTAGTTTTACACCTAATTACAGCTACACACTATAATAATTAACTTTTTTATTGCAATGTCAGTGTGAACAATGTCAACATTGCGAGATGCTAAACAATACAACTTTGGTTATCAGACGGACCCCCACTCCTCTAAACGTCCACATCTGGCACAATGAGAGCTTTGTGAACATAATGACAAAATATTTGGGTTTATTGCAACTCATGTAGTCATTGCAGTATCTAACAATAATATAAAATTTGCATGGTTTTTCCTAACATCCCGCAGCTCCACACCCTGCTATTCTTCTTCTCTAAGTAAACATGTTTGGTAAAGACCCACAGATTCTMACATCACTTCATCTGGGACGTTTTTACTCATGGCATTTCACATGTAAGCACCAGGCTGCATCAGACAAAGCTTTTGCTGTTTTTCTTATTATTTTTTTAATTATTATTTTACATTGTCTAAACATTTTCTTATTTGTTTTGAGTTTTTTACTTTTTCTTATTTTATCGCACTTTGTTGTAATTGTGTATGTAAACAAAATAAATAAACAATTGCTTAAAAATCTGCAATCAGCTGCTCAGATTTTCTGAAAATCAGCATTGATAGCAATCATTAAAAAGCCCTAATCAGTCAACCTTAGGACAGTGCATCACATAAATCTTAATGTTCAAATGAAGGGGGGAAACGTGCATTTTGCATATTCTGCATTTATATAATATTTTGATTAAAATTCTGATTGAAATCATTCAAAAAATTGTAATGAAAACATATCAAAAACTGCAACATTCCACCTGCTAAATGGGGCTACATAGCAGAGCCAAAAATCATAATTCTTGTTTCTAAGGCTTATGGCTGTTCTTATGTGATGTCACTTAACTGGATACACAAGCTAGCTGCTAGCATGTCCTCTTTAATACAGAATCGGATTCTACAATGGAGCGATTTATTTGCTGCTCGGACAAAAAGCTCTGAAAAAGAAAATGAGGGGTAGTCGATAAGGTCTGACGCTAACGTTAGCATCTGCTGCTGTGGATTCTCATTCATCCAGGACATGGGAAATTAAAAGAACAAAAAAACAAAGCTAATTGACTTGTGTTGATATCCACTGTGCTGTAGGTAGCTTGTTGTTAGCGTAGTGTAAACCGGGTGCTAGCGCTGTGCACTGGCGTTGAGCCTGTGGTGTTTGTCATCCCTCACCGATGTAATCTAATTTCTTCAAAAGCCATGTCACTGTTATTGAGAGGTTTATTATTACAATATATATTGATATTGAATTATTGTCCAGCACTATGAGCGATTGTATTGTTTGACCTGAAAGACGTCATGCATCGCTCCGCCTCCTTCAGGAGCTCTGAATGGAAATTCAAACTCTGATTTTGTGCGATTTGTAGAAAATGGCATGTTTTGGCCCCATTTACAAAAGTATTTAGAAATTTGATGAATATTCACACCTCATATAACATATTTTTAAAATGATCTTTATTGTCATTCGCATCACATGTGTGGAATGAAATTTGTATTTTCACGGTCCAGTTACACCCATAAGCAATTGAAATCCAGATACAATGGATAAAAAATAAATAAAGATAGAACAAGTAGAATAGAGTAAGTAAAATAGAACAAAAATAAATAAATTGTACAGGTCTTCTGGACGGGTTCTTCTCTAATGAAACGTTTCGTCTCTCCTCCAAGAGACTTCTTCAGTCTGAG